CTCTCTCTCTCTCTCTCTCTCTCTCTCTCTCTCTCTCTCTCTCTCTCTCTCACACACACACACACACACACACACACACACACAAACACACACATGCATCCCTTCTACTAGCGCCATCTCCCTTTGCCAGCCCTGACGAATCGGATACGCACATGTCGGGATCGGATCCAAAAGATCGCAAGTGTCGCCGCACGCAAAGGAAAAGCTTCCTAATGCTCTTGGGAGCGAGAACGGCCGCATACAGAAATGTCAAATAGGAGAGAGAGAGAGAGAGAGAGAATGGCCGACGGCTTCAATTAACATTTGCATCGAAAGCGGGTTGGTAAGTGGGCAAGTCGTGAAATCACTCACCATGCAAACACTTTCTTTGTCCATCCTGCCGGAAGACGTTTCATGCTCCTCGACCCATCACGCAAGCCACCAATCATCCCTGTGCCCTCATTACGCATTCCATCTCCCTCCATGTTAGAGCCGGCCATGGAAACAAATGATGGTCTTCTCCCTCCCCTCACTTGCTCCCTCCTCCTCACTCCCCCAACTTGCTCCCTCCTCCTCACTCCCCCTTCCTCCTCTTGCAAACCTCCCCACCTGTGGAGGCGAAGGCAGGGAAAGACAGTCGCCTCAGCGAACAAACAACAACGGCCGGCCGTTCAGACCCCGTCTCCCCCACCTTCGCTCCGGCTCTCCCTTGCCACGTCCCTCCCTTCCTTGCTTCGGCTTACAATCTACCCACCTGCCTTTCCTCTGCCCTTCCCCCCCTTGTCCTGCCTCTGCCTTATCCCGGTTCCACCGCTGCAGTCGACTGTCTCATTGAGTATCTTCGATTTCCCCCTCGTTGCTTCAGCCTCGGTTCCGACACGACTGGGTAACGCTCGGCTGAAGTTCTGCCAGCGCCGAACAGCTAGGTTGAGAGACGGGCAAGCGGGGCAAGCGGGGCAAGCGAGGCTGGGAGCGTGAGGCAACAGAATATTATATGTAAAGTTAGCAACCGCACCTTCTGCTAGAAGGCCGGAACATTCACTCGGCACTTTCCGGACTTTTTCATCACATTTGGCGCGCCACCACAGGCTGGTGGTGCGCTGCCCCCCAGTCGAGTCGGCCGAAGGGACACCCGGGACCCGCCAAGGCAAGCGAACGACAAACGGCCTCCGTTTTTGACGAAGGGAGGCGCGCCAGAGATGAGGCACGCCAGAGAGGAAGTCTCACTCACGAACGGGGATTCTCCGCAGCTGATCGCCGATCTTTGTATCGACGGTTTGGAATGAGGGATACCAGGGCTTCTACGATTCTGGCCGCTAAATACTTGTGATCGACGGTCAGGAATGAAGAATCCGGGTAAGCGGGAGCTCGCCCAAGGAAGATCACCGGGCGCGGGAGGGGACGCAATTGCGGGGAGACGTAGTAAACGAAAACGAAACGAAAATCGTTCTCCTTGTTTTTCCCTCTGAAATTCTATGGGTGTCATCCTTGCGATGGCGCCATGCTAACCGTCTCTGTATCGTTCGGATGTCTCGAAGGGCAACAAAACGACTTTCGTGAGTGAGGGTCATGACTTTCATTGGGCATCGCCACACCATTCTCGAATCGAAATGTGCAAAATGACAACGAATTTCGCGCTAGAACATGACCAGATGAGCCCGCCATATTTTTCTCCATTTCACATTTCGAGAGTGGTGTGGCGCGGCCCATTGTCCCCCAAGCTACGCACCACTACGGCCTCCACGAGCGCACAGACCAGACGCCGGACGGGCGACTGTCGGTCGAGATACCAGGGCTTTGCTGAAGGTATGGCTTGATCACACGACCAGTACCACCCAAAGGAACTTGGTGATGTTCAGGTCCTGGAAACGAAAGACGCCGTCTTCCAAGTTGACTCCATGGCAGAGCCCACTGGAGCTATGTTCGCGCCTGATCCTTAGTGTCTCATTATGAGCATAAGATTTCCCACCTGTAACTGGTTAGAACTCTGGAGTTGCACGATTCACATTAGGTCCTGTGTTCGATACCAGATTATGTCCTTCGGGACATCTGTTGAAATTGGAACGATACAGAGAAGATTAGCATGGCCCCTGCGCAAGGATGACACGCATAAATCCAGATACCAGATTATGACTTAAGGATGGTCATCCCCCTCGTATGTAGTCAAGGATTGAGGCTGGCATAGCAGTTCCTTAGTACGGAATGTGGGGGGTGTATACTGCACTTTACCGTGGGGCCGGAACGGGCTCCAGGGACATACAAGGGATCGGAGGATTGTCTAGCTCTCACAGCTTATCATACAACGCAGCGTTCTCCAGGGTCAATAGATACAGTCCATGATCCACAATTGACTTACCGTGAGGGCACGGGTGCGCAGCCCGTAGTTCGTTTGTTTATGTGGTTCGGGAAGGGTAAGGTAGTGATTATGCTATATGTATGTTTTGTCATGTTCGCTATATATAACTCGAAGAGAGTGCGTGTGCGGTCCCGGTTGGTGCTTTATTGACGATGTTCATGGGACGCTGGACCCAGTTTCCAACAGGTGGCGCTCCCCATCAATAGACAGGAGAATGTATGTGCGTGTGT